AGATTCTTAATGGAAGGCAAATGTGAATTTGCACTCCATTTACATATATGATACTATTTTGCTCACAGTGGAAGCATTAGTTTGCACATGGCTCAAACAGAGGTAAAGAAAGAGGGGAAGGAAGCAAAATCAGTTCAGAAATGCATTCCACAAGTTTAATAAATAGCAAGTATAGGACTACTACTGAAACCTTCCAGAGCTTTAAAGGCGGAGAAAGGCAGAAAGTGAGACAAAAATGATGCTGGATCTCAAAAGACAGCAAAGTTATGGATGCTTAAAGTAATGTTTAACTATTATAAAATGAAAATAATTTTTGTTATGAAAGCCCTTTCAGAGCACAGGTATGTTTGATATAAAGAAGATTGAAGATTGTGTATGCCAGTCTGTAAGACCAGATGCTGTGACATTAACTTAATCCCTTCTGCCCACTGAGATAATATTATGTATTCATATACAAGTGATGTGCAAAAGTGGAGTGCAAAAAGCAGCTAACAGAAAGCAGCAACCAAAGGAAACTGCAAATGGATAGAGTAAAAAAGCACAACTAATTTTAGAAACTTAGCAAAAGAGGATTACCAGTGCCAAGAAACATTGAAGCAGTCACTTTAGGAAGATCCAAAGAAGCTTTTGTTCTACTTCAGCCAACAGTTTCTGACTCAAAGGGAATTTTAACAAAGCAATAAGCAGAGAAAACATCAGGACAAAGAACCCTCAGTGAATAGAAAGAAGTGCTGAAACACAGATGGTCAGACAAGCGAAAATAAGTGTATCTTGGTTATGACACCACAACTTGGGTAGGGAAACATTTTGATTCTCTTTAAATTAACCGTCACATATAACTTTGATTATCATTTACCAACATCTTTTAAATATTGTATAATTCAGTATCTTTCATGAATAACAATTCCTGTTAAAAGAAATTAATACACACAACTTGCATAACTGTATTTAAATGAAGCTGAGAGCTTCCTATAGTTTCACATACCTCATTTGTACCTCAGAATTCATTTGTTCTGTCTAAGCTGATTTAAACATTTTCAAAGGCCTTAAAGGCCTTTGCCTGTTTGCAAGGCCTTAAACAGAAAAGTAGGAAAAATTAATAATTAATTAATTTAAAAGGATATTTACAAAAAAGTATCTAATACCCTAGGTCTTATGTTGTCGGGTATTTTAGGAAGAGATATTTTTACAGAGAGAGTAATCAGATATTGGAATAGGCTGCCCGGGGAGGTGGTGGATTCACCATCCCTGGAGGTTTTCAAGATGAGACTGGATGTGGCACTTAGTGCCATGGTCTAGTAACAACGGTAGGGCTGGACTCGATGATCTTTGAGGTCTCTTCCAACCAGGTTGATTCTGTGACTCTATGATTCTATGATTCAGAGGCAGCTAGATTTTATGACTTTGCATTGCATCCCTTTTAGATTTCTTTTCCAATATCTAAGCTACAATAGCCTCAGATATTACACTGAAGCTCAGCCAGGTGAGGTGACAAAGAATCTTAAAAAAACAGTTTTCATAAATTTAAGAGAACAGAAGGGAATCAGGCTATAATTGGCATAAATAGCAAGGGACTGGTAGCAGTGGGACAGAGGGACTGCACATGTGGTCTTGGTCCTCAGGAGGCATGGGGCTGTCCCATGCAGGTCACAGCTGGACACTGCTGGCTCCTCAATGGACCTACCACAGGACACAACTGAATCCATCAGTAGAATTTGTGGCAATTTTATGCAAATGAATTTAAGAAGGCAATAAACACTGAGAGTATGGAACATGGCCGGAGTGGGAGTGCTCCATTCCAGAGCTAGTAACACCCTCAAGGGGACTGGAGCCCATAGATAACCCACACTGGAGCAGGTTCTTCCCCTAAGAGACTGGCGCAAGGTCAGTGCACATCAGAGCAGAAAAATGAGGAAGAGGGAAGGAAAAGCATATGAAAATAGTGAGAAATGAGGAGTAGCAGAAATAAACTCCTACACCTTGACCTGAACCTCCTGCACTACCCATCACAGCAGTAAAGAGACAAAGTGTAATCTTTGGTGGAGTACATAGAGGAAGGGGAAGAAGTCTCTGGAATGAAGTTAAGCCTGCAAAAGAGAAGAGGCAAGGTATTTTTCCTAAATATTTAACTGTTTGTCTTTGTTTCCCAACACCCAAATTGGTATTTAAATGTTTTAGATTAAGACTGTTTTGCCAAAGACAGTAGTTGATGAGTGATTTTCCACATAATCATTTCAACCACGAATTTTTTCACTCTTATTCTTCCTACTTTCTGCCCTGTTCCACTGTGTGGATGAAGAGAGCCAGTGGCTGTGGGAGTGCTTCACTGCTACTCAGGATTAAACCATGACCCAAATATACTAGCATAAACTTGTGGAAACAAAATCAATAAGCCAAGGGAGTGATTAGGTGAAAATGATAATGTCACACAGTGACAGATTAACACCTGGGAAGTGCTGTGAAGTTCAGAATTTTGAGCCTGGCTCCTTCAAAACATGCAACAATAGGGTAAAGAAAGTTACAGAAAGTAGCAAAAAATTAGTAATTCTGGTTACAGTGGTACTACGTAGGAAACATCAAGTTTCAAGGAGGGAACTCAAGAAGAAGCCAGTCACATCTATGCTAATTAAGCAGGGGAAAAGTGAGCTTTTAACACAGTTATTACTGTGCAGTGCAGTGATAATACAGGCTATTGAAAGGATTAACAGACATCCTCTCAAAAGTGATGCAGAAATAACTCCCTGAAAAAAAATGAGGCACATGTCTCTGCACTATATGGCACTTTGCAATACTTTTTTTGATTTTTTTCTTAGTTATCATCTCTTGTGAACACTCATGCCAACACACCAGTGAAATTAGTTTGAAAATGGTCTTTACAAAAAGGCTTAAAAGTGTGTCCAACAGAAAAAATAAAGGATTCATTTCTTAGAAAACTGAAATATTTTGTGCTATACATTTTCCTTTGTTTTCTAAATACACAAAAGATATTTAATATATCCTATTGCTAGAAGTGTTCATGGCAGGATCAGAGAAACCTGGTCTAGTCGAAGGTTCCATGCCCATGGCAGGAACTGAAATCTTTAAGGTGCCTTCCAACACAAACCATTCTATGATTCTATGACATATATTTAATTTCCTCACACTCTCTCCATTAGTCTACTGTTAACCTAGAAACCAATCATCCCTCTTATTTGACCACGTGTTTTTCCATTTTCTACTATCAAGGTTCATTTTTATTGATCATGTAGGCTTGAGTATGCACATTTAATGTTCTTACATGCTGAAATTTTTTACTGCCTACATTTTCTTTAGACAGTTGAAAGGATATTTTCTTCATTTTAAGCACGGTGGGTTACTTCAGCATTTGACAGCTTAGCATAGAGTACACTTTAACATGCATTTGGCAATATACCATCAAAAATCAAATGAGCAAACAAAAAATAATAGTAAACCCCCCCTTAATATAATCACTACATTCTTAGGTAGTAAAGATAAATAGAAGACACTCTTCTCCTACACCTACCAACTCATATCTTTTATGGATCTTGCATAAAACGCTTTCTGAATGTAAACAAAAGTTTGTTCTCTTTCATTACCTATTACCTCACACTTCTGGCAGGAGTGCAACTATGTGTGCCATCTGAGACATAGTTTGTTCTCCTTTTCTCACTAGTTCAAAATGAACAGCTCAGCAATACAAATTTCTTCACTCAAACCACCAAGTTAGTTATCATATGGTTTCTCAATTGTGGCGTAGATTTAATAGAGAAAATTCCTGCTTTCTGCTGTTTAACAGAATCATAAACTAGCGATTTCCTAGTAAAGAGTGTTTTATTGTATTTGGTATGCAAGATACCATGCAAAAGTGAGTCAGTGCTTTTCAGACATAGTTTTATAGCCCTGGAGCTAGAGTAGGAAGGCTTCTTTCACCTGAATTCTCTCAGAATACACATTCCAGAATATCTATGAACTCAGGAAATACAATATTTGCTGAAGGAGTAGTCAAATTTCTTCTGTTCTTTTATGGAATATGCTACCTGAGAAAACCAGAGTTGCAAAAAAATTTTGCTATTAGCAAAGATAAATTACATACAAAATTACATACAAAGACCCTTCTAATCCTGTTTTAGCTGAAAGTTTTACATTAGTCGACTAATTTTATCAGATTCTGTAAAACTTCATGTAGTTGATCTCTTCCTATGCTAAATTTTCTATAGGAAACTGTAAAAGACATTCCTGAATTAAATCCTGTTAAGAATGCCATAATTTTTTTTCAATAGATAAATGGAAAAAGCAGAAAAACACAAAAAGGGTTACTGTTCCCTGAAGATCCATTGATACACCGTGGATATTGAAAAATATTATTTGCAGTACTACTATACGCTAATGAAGTTCAGCTTTCATTAGCACTTCATCATTAGAAAGACCTTGCTCCAAATGGTGATATTCCCAAGTTAATGCTTCATATGCTTTCATTCTTACTCAAAATAATGCTTGTTCATACAAACAGTGGGTAAGAATCCTACAGGTTAATTAAACCCTTAATTGTGCAAAGCATTCAGAAATAGGGAGTAGGAGATAATAGTGATTAAATGCTACATTAGAAAATAGAAACTTACTCACTGTTTTACAAACATGACTTACATGAATACAGATTCCATTACATAATTTAATGATATAAACATTATTTATATATCTGTTACACGATATAATTCAGAACATTAGGACCATTTTAAAAGCTAAGAACGTGCACAAGCTAAAGTAAAGCAGATATCTGCTGTAACTTTTTATAACTGAATTTAGATACACTGGATAATATACTAACTATTCTCTAACATACTCTGATTTGATATATCAGGTTGCAGAGCTAAATTTATCATGTATGTAAATACAAACTATAACTTTATGAGGATTTTTTAAAGTGGCTCTTCCAATTTCATTTACAACTTTAGGTACTATTTTTCCTAACAAAGACAGCCACAACAAAAAATTAAATGTACCTTGGTAGTGAGCACTAAATCCACGGTATCGGTGATTGCTGTCTGTTACAAAATGTAGTCTGAGCCAGTTTTTGTTGCTGATAACTGGAGGAGGTATATTCATTCCGGAGAGCCTGAATTCAAAAAACAAATAAAAATTATTATTTAAAGATTAAAAAATGATCAGGAAAACTTTATAATCAAAGAAATATTCATTAATATGGCCTCTGTTGGACTTTTTATTTATCAATAGGGTTTTAACAAGCATAAGCATGAACAGAAAAAAATTGTTCACTATGCATAACCAAATGAGAGGATACAAATCTCTGACCCAATTCTCTTTGACCAAGGGAAGGTCTCCTTCCCCACTTCATTTACCCTAAGCTCCAGGCTCAGAGATCCCTGAGGGCTGGTCTTATCAGTGAAGACCAATGCAAAGAAGGCATTCAATAATTCTGCCTCCTCTGTGTCCTCTCTTATCAGATTTCCCTCTCCATTGACTAATGGACCCAAATTGTCCTTTGTTTTCCCTTTGTTATTTATGTGTTTGAAAAAGCCCTTTTTGTTATCCCCAACATCTCTGGCCAGATTTAATTCCAGGAGGACCTTGGCCTTTCTAGTCTCATTTCTGCTTACTCTGGCCACATCTCTATATTCATGCCAAGTAGCCTGATCCTGCTTCCATCTCCTGTGCATTTCTTTCTTGTACCTGAGTAATGAGGAGTTTTTCATTCATGCACAGGAGTTACATGCACCCTTGGCCTCATGTCTTTCTCATTAGGATGCATTGTTCTTGAGGCTGAAGGAAGTGAACTATGAATAGCGAACTATTCTCTTGGACCCCTCTACCCTGCAGGAGCTAGTCCCATGGAATTCTCCCAAGAAGGTCCCTAAAGAAGTTAAGTTAGCTCTCCTGAAATCCATAGTCATAGTCTTGCTCGCTGTCCTGCTACCTCTTTGTACTACATTCTCATGGTTACTATAGCCAAGACTGCCCCAACCTTCACATCATCAACAAGGCCTTCCATGTTGGTTATTATAAGGTTGAGTATAAGGTCAGCTGCTCAGCTGCTTTGCCAGCTAGTGCTCCTTTGCTGCCTGGCTGCCAGGCTAGCTATGGGCCCCAAACTGCCTGGTTATTCAGCTGCTGGTCTCCGTGGGTCTTTTAGCTCTCTTTTTCTGATTTGCAACTCAGTCAGAATCAAATGTTTTTGTTCCAAACCACAGGAAATTTCATAAAGTTATATACAATACTGATATCCAGAATTTAATGAAAAGAAAAAGTCCAAAACAGATGAGTTTTCTTTTATGGTCAGCTTTATTAGACAGTGCATTATTCTAGCTAGATATTAAATTGCAATTGCACATTATTCTGCACCAATTAAAGTGAGAATTGCACTATAACACGTATTCAGCTTATGAGGCAGAAGCCTACATCTTCTGATTAGAAAACATGAAATATTTCTGTGTTTTCACTGTGAATTTTAACATGAAACACTTTCTAACAGCCATGAAGTGACATAAGTTGCTACAAATTTCTTGTTAGAAATGTAAGAAATATACTTTCATTTGTTGCTTGATTCTTGGAAGGTAGAGGTTTAATTAGGTACAACTATTTCTCTGTATAATAAAATTACATAATGATGCCAGAAAATAGCTCTTTTATTTAAATTCTCACCCTGTAACTAATTGTTAGGCAATATAGAGGCAACAACCTTTCACTGCTTACGTATTTGAGAATAAACCTTTTACTATAAGAAATCTTAGTGAAAACTGGAAACAAAAATAAGGCTGTAAAACACATTTCATAACACCTATTTTGACTCATATATAGTCTACCTATAATAAGGCTTCTCTTTAATAATCACTAAAACATGTGAAAAATAAATTATAAATTTATTGTCCAACACATGAGATGTTGCCCTAGACATTTAAATATACTCATAGTAAAAGACTAGTTTTTCTTCTAAAATAGCTAAAATCTAGTTGAATTTAGTTATCAAATCAATTATTTACTAACACATCTATCCTTGACAGATGTAGGTTATATTTAAGATGATTCAACTAAGCACATACTGATATCATCTAAGTCCTAACTAAATCACAGTTCCTAAAATCTGATATTTACGGTTCATGATTTCTATGGGATTGTTCCCAGAAAGCAGATTTTCAAACTGACAAAATATATTCTGTTGGTGTAAGTGCCCCTTTTCTCATGTCAGTTTATCTTCTCAGAAAATTATAAAGCTGTTCATCATTACCATAATGCATTGGCAGCCCAACTTACTTCTGTGCCAGCTACTATGCCAAGCATAGCTATGTTGCATCATCTACAATATTTTCCTAAAATTCAAAGTAAAACACCATATCTACCATAAAGGAAATGCAGCTGTCTTGTCTTCTTTTATTATTCAAAAGATGCAACTCCCTCTCAAGCTGCACAGAACACTGCATAGCAAATTTCAGTCAACAGACTCAGCTTCTCTTCTGCAGTTGTCTTTCAGAAACTCTTAGAAATGTTCATAGAGAATCTTGGAGAACCAGAGATTTAAAGTATCTCACCACTATGTGTAGTCAACAACATTGACTGTTATCTAACGTAAAATGTGTTGGAAAATAAAAAGTGCTTACTGAAATAATGCACCCTTGCTGCTAATCAAAGGATTAGTAAAAGTGTAAGAACCTTCATGTAGATGTCAGTGAAGTTCCCATCTTTGCATTTTATTTGCTTTGTGGGTAAATCACAGTTTACATAAGAAATAAGGAACTAACATTTTGAGAATCAGAATTTTGTTATTCTGCACTTCATTACAACAGCATTTCTCCATTCCCTTCCTTTATTCACTATCTAGGTAGTGAACTTAAAGAATCACTTTGCTTCAGGCTAACTCTGATCCAGCAAAATCAATTAGTATTTTATTCCCCCTCAAAATTCTAACACATAATTCCCACATTATGTTGCTAAGTGGAATTCAGGGTTGGTTTGTTTCAGTTCTTTTAATAGCATAGTGCACATCCTCCATTTCTTCCAGAGAAGGAATACTATACATTTACTTTAGCATTTGAAATGCACACTGTCATCTAGCTATAATCTTGACAAGTAGTTTCAAAATTACTGTCTTGTTCATGTACCAAACTAACTTTAATTGCTAAAAATCATCTAAAACTATAGTTCTTAGAAATCTAAATGAAAACAGAAAAGCCAGACAACAAATAAAGATTAGATGACAGAAATTATAAGACAAAAATGCTTGATTTTGTACAGATTTCATAGATATTGTCTTCCTCATTCTTACAGAATGATGGCCAAACTACTTAACAACTACTTTCACTCACTGCTGTTTTCTGTTTCATACATTATGTCCAATGATTGTCCTTGTCATCTTGTCAAGAAGTGGTTCAGAACCTTACTCTGGATTATTCAGATAAATTAAGGAGTATAATATACAAATGACAGAAGTAATTTAGACATGATACAGGTACAAAGAGAGACAAAAAGTGCCTATATTGCAAAGGTTCAGTCAAAACTCAAAGTCACACCAGTGAACAAACATGTGAAAACTTCAAAGAAGGATAAAGACACTGCAAAATATGCATATGAGGTATAGCAGATAAAAAAGGTCAAAGAGCCAGTCCTCACTGTATTTAAATGTCCTGTTCAATTTTATTATATTTGAATCTGTATGGAATCATAGCAGAAGTTAAATTTTGTGTGTTACTTATTTGTTTGGAGCAGAAATCAGTGACACCGAATCAAGTATTCTTTTAATGAGATTAATTTATTGTAGAACATGTGCATTTTAATTTTGAAAATTATTATTAAGTAACAAGCACACAAGCCCCACTAATATAAACCTTAATTTAGACATTAAATGCTGTCCAAAAGTATTCCAAACAAAAATTTTTGGTTTTTTTCAAATATACAGCAAAGTTTCTCACAAAGCTTTTTAGCTAAGCATACAGTTCCTATGTTTCCTCACATGCCAGGACATTAATAGAAATGGAATTGATCAAAAACAGGAAGTTGAGATTGATACCACATCAATAACCCCTACTGAAACCCATTCTACTATCAAAGCTTTAGGCTAACGCAGGCTTACATCTTAGCATAACTAGGTGCATATATAGATCTAATAACATATATGCACTACAAAATCCTACGTGCTTGTTTTGGTGCAAACTGCAGCTGTGTGGATTATTTCTCACTGGTATGATTTGCTTGTTGAAATTTGCTTGTTGAAACTGCTATACAAATTGCTCTGATTTATAAAGGGCAAAGTATCTCATATTTTGATAAGGCCTATTGAACATTATCCATGTACATGTACGTGCAAGTGGGACTTAAGGCTTACACAGCATAATGCAAACACTACAGAAGATGATAGCCTCCTGTCCCTTGACAGGAGAGGAAAGATACAGCCAATAGAATGATGGAAGGAGGATGCCAATAGAATGAGGAAAGATACAGCCAATAGCCAATTACATACCTGCTTTCATTAAATTTTGCTTAATTTAGGGAGTAGGCATATTAAACACAAATGTGTACTATCAACCACTTCCTGCTTATTGTCTTTCCTATACTTGTACACAACATATACTCATTAGCAAAGATTTCTAGCATCTTCTCTTTTGTTCTTCATGATTGTCTTGATCTCACAAAACAGCTCTTGTAACAAGCTTCATAATGAATATCTTTTGCAAAAGGATCCACCTCACAATATCGATTTAAGAGCACAAGATTGAAACTCAGGTGTTTCATTTGATAAATCCAGATCAGTTTAGGAAGAATCAGTTGCACGCTAGAGAAGCAAAGCTGAAACCAACTGAATATATAACACATTGCTTGATTTGAAGGATTTAGTAATTAACATATCCCTCTTGTTCCATCAACCCAGTTTGTAAGATGTTTAAATTTTGATTCAGATACAAAACTAATCATTAACCTTTTGGTCAAGCACAAAACAAAAAGTTTTTGGTATGACTAGGCCTATCAATGTTCTTAATTTTTCCAATTCCAGTGATGAGATTAATGGGTTTTAATGACAGTTATTGTAGATTGACTGTTGCGTGACAACTTTGGGTACTGGCCTTTTTGTTTTTCCTGGAAGTATTCAATCCAAATTATATTAAATCA